AGCATTTCAATGCTATCCTCACCACGTCACAATCCACCAAATACTCTATTCAATGTGGACTATATTTCTACTATAAATATGTAGATGTGAGCATGACAACTTTGAAGGCCGAAAGAATTATAAAAAGCCAGCCTTTGACAACTTTCGCTGTACACGCAAATCCCATCCATCTGTTTTCTTAAATGCGAAGACAATAACCTAAAATATACATACATATATATTTTATTTTAATTATATAATAAAAAATAATTATTTTTTATTTTATTTTTTTACATATTATATCATGTAATTCAAATTCAAAATCTTTAATTTTTAATTAAAAAAATAATCATTCAATTATTTAGATCAATAACCTATACTATTAAACCCTCTTTTTTGACTCGTAGTACATGTAGAAATGGATATCTATTTTAATTTTTTATTATTAATATATGAAAATTAGAGTAAAAAATTGTTATTAATTTTATTAATTATTAATTAATAATATTAACATGATATGTAATAATTGTTAAAATCAATATTTTTTTTTGTCTTTAAAAAATTAATATATAAAAAATATTTTAAAGATATTTTTTATTTACACCTTAAAAATAAAAAAATAAATAATTTTATAATTTTATATCAACCATGGTATATTATTACTCTCATACATCAATTTATTCATTTTTTTAATTTAATCAAAAATAAAAGTTTCATTCAAATTTCTTTTTTGAGTATGAAAGTAAGATTTCAAACTTTACACCTCTATTAAAATAAAAAATTAATTCGTTAATTGTACTTACCTTTTAAATAATCGAATCTTATTAGTCTCACCGTCTATTTTATAAATAATTAATAAGGTTAAAACAAACTTCTTTCCCAAGAAGAATGTGACCTTATGACCTCGTGTAGCATATTAACTTGCAACAGAAGTTTTGAGACAATAAATGTAGTTGGCCTTCTCAACAAATTATACCAATGTTGAAGTTTTCCATGTGCAATGCCAATAAAGAGGAAGAAAATGAGTTCCAAATCCGGCCGGTTAGATCCGCAAGATCCGCAGGAAGACCAGCGGAATCTTACTTTTCCTTTCAGATTAAAGGGCGGTATTATTGAAAAAAAAAAATTTATATTATTTTTTGATATAATTTTAGAATAATATTTATCTGTTTTATTTTTTAAAAATTAAGAAAAAAATTATTCTAAAACTACATTATTTCAATCAATTTTAATGAAAAAACTAAAATACCTTATTTTTAAAGTATAAATTAAAGTGTTTTTTA